TTAATTTGTGCATTGGCGTAATTCGAAATTCAATTTGTTATTTGCAACTGTTTACTGTATTGAACAGAAGCATTCAAAACAAATGTTACATAACATTGTGTCTTTATAGAAAACAAAATATGGGCGGCAAAAAGTTAGGGTTTTTTTTTTGCATTTTTTAGCTTAACATTCGGTATTCAGAGTCTAAACAAATGCACGTCTTTCAAAAACTCATTATAACTAATAAGAATTCGTTGAGCTATCAATCATAGTTTTGTTAATATTAAAGTTTATTAATTCATCGAGTTAAAAAAGGATGGTTTTTGTTTAGCAATCGAAAATACCAAGGGCAGATGAGAAGTCAAGGATTGTAACTCGATGACAGGAAACGAAAGATGACCTAGTACGTAAAAGACCAGAGATCATGTTAATATAGCCATCGTGGGCAGTTCCGTTATCACCTTTTATGTTCGTGTCTATTAAATATTACCATAAACCACACTCGAAGTTATTATTTAAGTACGAACAAAATTGATTGAATTAGCATTGAGTTCTCCTCTATTGCGCCCTTCCATATCTAAAAAGTGATTACTGGCTTTAAAAATTAAAAAAAATACAATACGTACAATAATACTCGTTCGAATGTTTTCAAATATCCGCGAATCTTCCTATATATTAATATAGCGTAACGTTTAGTGTAGGATTACATTGTGTTGGCGTTTGTGGACCTTGTTTTTTTTTTGTAAATGGATCTTTAGGTGGTCTCAAGATCAGCAAGTCCTTATCGGTATTGCGGGAAATTAAGACCAAATTACCTACTAACAAATCGTAAAAATGACAAATATTTTAATTATTTACGGATTACAACCTTGGGTCAGACCACGAACAGAAGTGTGCTTTTATTTCTTGCTATATTGTGTTATAAATTGTTATCTAATAACGAGCAGTTTTTACTGTTTACTTGTACACAAACATACTGTTATCCTCTTAAGTTCGCGTTAAGTGTTTTGAATAAAAAAAATTAAGTAAAAAAAGTTAAAGAATTATAACAATGGTCAATATATTTCTCACACATTTTATTTTTATCTGCAACTGTAAATGTTGAATTTATTAAACAATTTCGAAGATAAAAAATTAAAACTTTACTTGAAGATGTTGCGCATCGTTTAATTACTGCATTTTCTAAGAGGTAGCAAAAATCAATTTATTACTGTAATAGCTTAAAAAACAACGAATTTATGTAAATAAGTATTTATTTTTAACATATTGTTTCGTCAATAACAAGACAATGATTAAATATGTTAAAATATAAAATACACTAAGCGATTTACACTTTATTACATTACCTATTCAACGAATAAAAATAATACAAATTATTAAAGAAACAAACGTTAAATAAAAACATATTTTGTTACAAATAAAAAAACTAGTACCCTTTATAATGGATAAATAATTGAATATCGCGTTCTCTCAAAAGAGCCATGTTAACCTTGATATATTCGAGAAAAAATAAACAAATAACTCTAGTAGTATTGCGACATTTACTAATATTACAAATACGAAAGTTTAGATGGATGTTTGTCAGCAAGTAACTCCAAAACGGCTAAACAAATTGAGATAAAATTTGGGACAAATATAGGGTACTGTATGGAATAGCGAATTTCAAAATTCTTTTTTTTTATTACTTGCACATGAAAGCAAAAGCCTAGGATGAAATAATATGCAAAAAAAATTATGTTCGTCTCTATGTGTTTCAAAATCACAAAGCCAATTTACTAGTTTTTGGTATAATTTTAGTAGTTCGTTTCGAAGGCACCCGAGGATTAAGCATTAAAAAATACTTTTGCTATGAAACTTGACATTTGAAATCATTTTAACAATACTTACAACTGAAATTGAAAACAACCACACGACATTACGACTATGTATCATACATGTAACGCAATATAGATAAACATATAGACATGTTGTCTGCAATCGGAATCAATACTATAAGATACAATCACTAAAAGTTGTTATTTCCAATAAATATTTTACTTTGAAAGTGTATTTAGTTTAAAAAGACAAAGGGATAGAAAAAAAGGGTTTAAAAAACCTATTTAGTGTAACAGTTATCAAAAACAAGCTAATTTATGACGTAAAAAGTAAAACAAAATCATAAAAACGATGTTCAAATCTATTTTATAACATTTTTATTAAAAGCTAGATTTTTCCCGCAACTTCGTTTGTACAAAATTAAAAAAAGGGTGTAAAGTATCTCATGTGTTACTCAAACCTATGTTCAATATCTGTGTCAAACTTCAATAAGATGTTAAGTCATTGTGGAGTTATCAAGTACATATGTAAATCAACCGTATCGCACGAGAACTTGACATATTACCAGGATCATAGGTAGCCTGTGTGTTCTTCCAGACTGTGTTCTACATCTATAACGAATTTCATCTAGATCCATGCAGCAAGTTCTGGATATACCTTCTAGCAAACATCCATCCATATATATACTCATTCGCATTAATAAAATTATATATAATATTTATGCATATATTATAATTTCGTGATGTATTAAAAGTATTAATGTTTAATTGAACCAAAGATATATAAAAATAAAGGATGCTTGCTATATCTAATTATAACAAATTGACATGTTTTACCATATTAATTGTGTCATTTGAATAAACCAGATATTATGATGTTTATGATAGGCTAACATTTTTATACAAGGATCGCTGCGAAACATTAGGAAATTATGTAGAAGGAAGTAATGACACCTATTTTTAAAATGACGGGCCTTGATTTTAATTCGATGGACACGATTAAAATAGTATTTTACATTTATAATCTAAATTAAAACAAATGCTATATCAGGAATCATTCCGTAACATTAAAAGAATTGTGCATTTACATAGTTTCAAAAACAGTATGTAATAGGTATCGGTTACAAGAAATTATTTAAGGCGGTTTACGTCAAAATACAAAACCGGTTTTAAAATATTTAAGCAATATACGAAACTGATCTTTCCGTCAAACCTACGTAAATAGATAAAAGTACCGGTAAAGTCTGACCGGTTTTTTAACCGACGTAGATGTTACGATAAAATAAACATATCGTGAAAAACAGTATTCGCTACAAACACTACTTTTCCTATTTTATAAAAAAACGCAAACGAATTGATAACTTACTCCTTCTTGAAGTCGACTTAAAAAGAAATACATGATAGAAAGACGTAATAACATATAAACAAAGGTGGACATTGATTCGTTAATCCATTAATTAACGAAGTTAAATTTTTTGTTAAAGAATTAAATTTTAAGTTAACTTCAAAAACTGTTACCGCTTTTGTGAACAAACGATCAAATGGACCGGAGCACTGAGTACGCAATAACAATTCAATAAATTGATGGCCAACCCTTCTAATGATCTATTCTAATGATCCCTTCTAATTCTTGATTTGTTTACTAGATAATCGTATGTGATAAAACACTAATAAAATAACTCGAAATAAGATAATTCTTCATTGGTTGTTTTATCTATATAAACTTCCAAAAATAGTATGAGTTACATATTGGTAACTGTTAACCATCAACATTAACTTGCGTAAAATTTTCTAAAATTTAACGCGTTAACGATTAACGAAGTTAATATTTTAATTAACAAATTAACTGTTAACAAAGTTAACTTTTCGATTAACCTGTGCCCACTTGTGCACTTTTACGCAGGCATTTAACAAGATGATTGAGGGTGAGTTTACTCTATCAAAACATCCATACCTAAATATTGTTATGTCATATTCTCAATAAGTGTTAAAGACGACAACAGGTGTTACTATCGTCAATCTAACACCAAATAATAAATTAACGCTATCTTTAATTTATGCGACGTTTATCATTTTCGCTTTAATAGACAACTTAGCATTGCGAATTTCGAAGAACTGGAGACATATCTGAGATTGTTTTGACGACACACTATGTTTCTTTTTGGAAGAATATTTCTAAATATGTTGAATCGTATTCAAAAATCCACGCATTAAACTTTTTTTTATATTTCAAATATATTAGTTTATTATTTAACGAACATAAAGGTCATTAACTACAGGAAAATAAATCAAGTTTAAAGCCTTACATTGAAATCGATCGAATTCGGAAGACATTTTGATTATTTTTAGTTAAAACAAAGGACAATAGAAATCAACTATTGTGTGCAAATTTTAACGCAAAACATTAACGTATAAAATAAAATGCAACAATTTTGTAACACTGGTCGAAGCCGGTCAGCGTCTGATGAAATTATCACTTGAGTGAAACATGAAACAAAAATCTCGTATCTTTCAACAACTTAACTGTTAACTTTTTAAATTATTTTTTCGTTCCAATAAACTTATGCATAATCTTTTATTATCAATATGGTAATGATGATAAAGAAATTAATTTTTGACTTCTTGTTATTTTATTGAATACGAAGTATGTTTTACTGGCTTCAACTATAATTTCGCACGCTAGAGGACAGTGCCTTAACAAAAAAAAAACAGTTTTTTAAATTGCAGTTTATGCGTAACAGCTATGGTGGCAATACCAAACAAATAATGTTACTGACTTCTAGATAAATCAAGAAATAAATCTGTTTTAATAATTTAATTTTTTCTTTTAAGTTATGGTTTGTTTTTGTTTATTTCGTTATCAAGTTCCCTACGAAGCGTCGGCACAGTATATACAACTCTTCCATACGTCTCCATCAGCCGTTATATCTAAATTCACTCCCTTTTTGCGTATATTTCACACGATCCATCCAATATTGTTTATTTATTCTATTTTAAATATTCTTGTTAAGATGTTTGGTAACCATCTTTACGTCCCCTCGTAATTTTACGTGTACAAATAAAAATAAATTTTAGAAAAGCATATAGGGCTTAAAAATAAGGGTTTCATTTTTAATTGTCGCTAAATAAGGTATATCTTACACTAAATAAGACTCCTTATCATCAAGCATCTAGTTCCGATTTTAAATGAGAAAAAAATATACTTACAATTTATGATAAGGCTTCAATGATGCGACAACCCTATACCGAGCGCGTGTAGGGATGTGACGAGTTGAAAAATTAAATCGTTTCGAATTGTAGAGAGCGATGCGCACGCGCAAGTTAGCGTCCGTCGAGAGCGCGGCGGACAGTGACTGCGAACAGCACGGCAGCGGCAATACCGACTTCGGGCACGCTCACCTGCGTCACACGTACGTCACCAGCTCGTCAGACCTGACCGCCAAACCCGAACATCGCGAATAACTAACCATTTCCTTTCATACTATCTTTAAAATTAAATTCAATACTTTTGTTTGACACTGTCACCAGAACGTGACCCTTAAGTAAAAAACCATTAAAATGTACAGAAATTGAAATTAAATATTTTGATAAATAGATCAGCAAAAATGCTATCTTGAAAATCGTAACTTCCGTTAGGCGCTATCATCGAGTACGCCAACAAATCGGGCGGATGACGCATAGTTGATACGGTTATGTTAGATTAGGTTTTATTTTCGTGTCTTATTTTTATTGCATTAATTATTAAGCAAATTAATCCGGAATTTTTGAACATTTTAATAAAATATTATGAATAATTAAATTCTAATTAATTGATTTATGCTGACATTTGTAGTCCATACTTTAATATTATAAAGAGGAACGAATTTATTGTATGTTTACTTGTTTGTTGGCATTGAATGGGTTCCGAGAATAACGAACCAATTTGAAAAAATTCATTGTTGGGAATTTACACTATCGTCGGTTTTCATAGTCCATATCTATTATTAGATTTTTTTTTAATAAATTTAAGATTGAAGAATCCCGAAAAGAAATTAATAAAAAGGAAGATAACTTTGTACATAACAGTAAATGGTACACTGTTTGAACCTTTCATTATATTAACAGCGTGTTCAAAAAATGTCTTCTTTGTAAATCTCAAGTCAACCGAGAGGTAAGTGTTATTTTCAATCAGGTGTTGAGTTTGAAAATTAACGTAAAATTTAGAAAAATAAATAGTGTCCATATAGAACGGATAGAAACGTTGATAAATATTACATTATATAATTCAGAAAAACTTATGATTTTTTTTATAATTTTGCACGAAATAAACATAAATTTGGTCCTGTCAAACATATCGATTTAAAGTTTATGCAGTAAATTTAAATAATATTGAAATTTGTCAAGGATTAAGTCGTGTCTATCTGTCCAATTATAGGAAGAATAATATTTTGCTATATTTATGACCATCGAAATTGTCATTTAATAATCACGACATTTTTTTATATTACACTAGTTGCTATGCAGTTTTGCGTGCGTTTTAATTACCTGAAAATTTGGCGTAAATAGGAGTAAAGTTAAAAAAGGTATTAACTATAGTAAAGACTATTTCACGACGACAAGTCACTGTTGATATTAAGGCAGAACGAAAAAGCAACATAACATAATAATTGGTCAAGCTCTAGGTTTCAATATGATACAGAATTATATATCATCATCAGCTCACTATACGTCCCCACCGAGGTGCTCGGAGCCTACCCTAAGTTAAGGATGATTAGGACATAGTTAACCACGCTAGCCAAGTGCGGGTTGGTAGACTTCACACATATCTTTGAATTTCTTCTCAGATATGTGCAGGTTGCATCACGATGTTGATGACGGTGATTCCTTCACCGTAAGAACGTCGGATAAATGTACATATGTAAATCGGAAATCGAAAAAAACATTTGTACATGGCGGACTTCGAGCCCAGGACCTGCATATTACAAGTCAAGTGCTTCATTTCTGATCCACCAACACTCAAATTATTATACATATTCACATAAAAAACCTTACTATTATCTATTACCAGAGATAGTAGCCAGTAACATTTATTGCACGAATTGGCTATCTTGACCGCTGTATCACGACCGAACACAAAAGTTCTCAAGTGGACGCAATTACGCCTTTCGGCTGACGAGTTTGTGTGACGGAGGCCTTATGTTTAATCCCTTTTTTCTTGTAAGAGTGAATGGCAATGGCAGCACAGGAGAGGTATAGTAAATGGAAATATCCTATTTCTATGTGTTAATTTCTATCGAATATAGATAAACCATCTTCGAGCGGATGCCTGTGTAACTTCGCTACTTTGGCGAATTAAAGTAATCATTTGCCGGCTTTGCCACATTCTGCTATATTCATATGTATAATACAGAGGATATTGACAGCACTTTTCTTGCGACATAGTAAATAGGCATATTTATTAATATAAGCATGGTACAAAATACATAATTACAATAAAAGTGTCTATAAACCCATTACGGGTTTGTTCGAACACTTTGGTACAACACTATGAAATGTAACAATAGGTAAGTTGAGATTTTTTATTTTATAACATTACTAGCTATCACCCCGTCTCTGTCTGCATAGAATTTAAAAAAAATATATAATTAGTATCCTATATGTTCTTCCAGACTATGTTTTATAAGTATGCCATATTACATCGAGATCTGTTCAGCTCTTCTAGAGATACCTTTCAACAAACATCTATCCATCCATGTATCCAACAAACATCCATCCATCCATGTAAACATTGGCATTTATAATATTAGTAAGATTAAATATAGGGAGCATATTTCAATTTTTTCAATTCATTATGACATTTGAATACAGTAACACAACTTGGTGAATTAAACTGGACCAGTGTTTTGTTTGAGCGGAAAAGTTTAGTTTATAATGTAGTCTTTATATTTATCTGTCAGTGTAAGTCTGACACAATTCTTGTGACATTTTTTTGACACTCAAAACTTGTTAACTATAGCAATTTAGTTATTCCCACCTAGTTAGATAAGTTTGTTGGTCAATGAACCGGGAGCAAGCAATTTTATGAGGCAAAATAAAAAAAAAAACTTGGTACATGAGGTAAGAAGATTTCATCGACAAACAGCTCAAGGATTATTATTTAGTGTACAAGAAATAACAGAAGTATTAAAAAAGTAGCGTTTCCTTTTTTTATTATAGTTATTGATATAGGGGTGTATAGAAACATGTCTGAAACATTTCTATATTATCTCTTTAATATGTTTAATCTCCATTTACATTACTTTGTTTTTAATCTAATGATATATGTTAAAATACTTAATTCATATTGTAGCTTCTTCCTTAATTTATTGTCTGTTACTAAATAATAATATAGTTATTATTATTAAAATAAATTGGAAATTATATTTCTATCATATTTATTTTAATAATTTCTGTTAGTCAATTTATAAATGTAAAATAAAGGATGTTAAAATTTAATAACAAACTTAGTCTAAATTTAGGCATATGTACCTGATTCAATTTGATATAAAAATGCTATTATGATCAAGAAAAATAGCAAGCAATTGTAGCTTAATTATTTAACTAAACTTTGACAAAATTATGAAGAGAAATAGAATATTTGAAATATCAGAACAATTGAAGTTGCAGAAAAAAAATGACAAAGTATTTGAAGTACTGTTTACTTATAAATAAAAACTAAAGGCTATCTTTAATATTTAGATTTGTAAAAAGGTTAAAAATTTGCCGCTTTAATAGTTGTTAGTGTTAATTTTCACATTCTGTTTTTTAGATAATGTGGCAAACGTTATCTTTTTTCTTCTAATTCTATTTTAGTAAGTAGAAACAAACCGCGAGAATTGTTAACCGCACGTAAAAATTATTCACGATACTTTCTACATTTTTTTACCAAGCATAGCGGCATAGCTACCAGTGGGCGTTGTACATATGCTGTGAGAGAGAATATATACATTTATTTACTCACCCTCAAAATCTCTTGATATCACCACGAAAAATATATTGCAAATTGAAAAACGTGTAGTACTAGTAATGGCATTCAAACTAACTATGATTCAATGCAATATCGGAGACGTTTGTCACCTCTTCATTTATCTACACTGGATGACTAATTTAGGTTATGAAAATAGCTCTTAGTGAGCTTTTCCTACTTAAACTTATGTTTTAATCTAATTTACACCTCTAACTCCATATCTATATTTTACAATTTTTATATTTTAAATAAAAGAAATACTGTTCCACTAACAACATACTACTCCATGACCCACTCCCGTTTCAGTTGGATCACACAGATTAAATAAGAATTCAGAAGGTTTGACATTTGCTGTTACGTCATACCGTCATAAGGTATGATCTAAATAGGGCACGCTTATATTGTATTTGCAAATTATTTTCTAAGACTGATGAAAGTATTTAATGCACCGATAGAGATATGTAGACTTGAAAAAAAACGTCATTTGCATCGAAATTGTTGAAATCTGACGAAGAAAGTTATTATATGTACGCATCATTCGCCATCTGGCGTCCAAAAGCTCATTATTATAATCTTGTCTTTTGACTACTAGGTGGCGCTACATGAATGAAAAAAAAGTGAGATTAAATCGAGTTTAATGTTTTTATCACAAGATGTCACTGTCATACCTCTTAGGTTCATCTCAATCTCTACGCTTATGGTTGTTACCAGATGCTACTTCTACGAAAGTTTTTCCGAATATAGGTATATGTGAAGGCTACTTGGTAGCAAAGTATATTTATACCTTATAGATAAGGATAAGAAAACGTTTCATTGAATTGGTACAATTTCATTTTAATCTTAGCTTTCTCCTACCAACATGACTTTGGGAAACATTGCAGGCATTCAGTTGGTGCGAGTCCGACGTAATCTGCTCACGTTTGCGCCTTTCTAGGCTCAACAGAAAGGCCCCGATAGTCTGTTAATTTTAATATTGAGTCTCGATATCAAACAGGTATATAATCGTATAAAAAACTATTGGTCCGTAAGAATGTAATATCCGAAACAAACATTAGGTTATTTTCCATAACATGGTGCCAGATTAAAACATGTCTGTTAAATTAAAACAACATTTGGAAAATACTTCATACAAGATACCTACAAGGCCTATCCCATTTCTAAGTGCATCCTTTGGTGGCAGATAGAGGAATGCCAACCTACATGTGTATGTTGAGAGATATACTCCTCCTTCTGTAAAGCTGTCGGGATAGAGTCGAGACGTCGGCGACGAGGCACTAGGGCGCCTTGATGAGATCCACAAGGTTGGTTGCCTAGGTAGATATTGTCATGTAGCAAAGCTAGAAGGGACTGTGTGAATATCCTGTGTCACCTGGCTATCGCAGTTGGTGGCCA